ACTAATTTATAAACACATATTTCCTCTGGTCGCTTGGCCCTATCACAGTCAGAAGTCAGTCTAGAATGCATTTCTTGTTTCGGTTACAAGCACACAATTGAGCATGACGTGGGTATTTTTTCACTGAATCTGGACCGTGGTTTTGTCATGTGTTTCCTTTTTCCAGAATTCTCTGGATGAGGGTTAAAGAGAGTGGGGCCTGGGCACGTGGAACACTGTGAGTGGGAATGTAGAGCGGTGGAGCCGTTTTGGAAGGCAGTTTCACAATAAATATGAATGTTTAAAATGCTTGCATCTTTTTGAGCTGGTAATTCTGTTTTTAGGAATCTATCCTATAGAAAAATACACGTGTATAGGGACATTCATGGTGGTGCTGTTTGTGTGGGAAAATTGGCAACTAGGATGTAACTGGGGACAGATAAACTCATACACCGGAAGACTGTGCAGTCACTCAAGAAAATGGGGTAGCTCTGTAAACGTCAGCACATACTTTAAACCCTGGACCCAGGTTGGGCACAGTGGCACATGCCTGTAATCCTAGCACTTTTGTAGGCCGAGGTGGGCAGATCGATTAAGCTCAGGAGTTCGAGACCAGCCTAGGCCACATGGCTGTCCAAAAAATACAAACATTAGCCAGGTACAGCTGGGCACAGTGGCTCACACCTGTAATCCCAGCACTTTGGAAGGCTAAGGCCTTCCAAAGGATCACTTGAGATCAGCAGTTCAAAATTAACCAGGCGTGGTGGTGGGCACCTGTAATCCCAGCTGCTCAGGAGGCTGAGGCAGGAGAATCGCTTGAACCCGGGAGGCGGAGCTTGCAGTGAGCCAAGATTGTGCCACTGCACTCCAGCCTGGGCCACAGAACAAGACTCCATCTCAAAAAAAAAAAAAAAAAAAATTAGCCAGGTGTGGTGGCATGCGCCAGTAGTCCCAGCTACTTGGAAGGTGGAGGTGGGAGGATTGCATGAGCCCAGGAGGTCCCTTTTTTAAAAGGCTGAATAATATTCTGCTGTACGTATATACTACATGTTATTTATCCATTCATCCACAGACACCTGCGTTGTTTCCACTTTGGGCTACGATGAATTATGCTGCAATGAACATGGGTGTGCAGATACCTCTTTGAGACCCTGCTTTCCATTCTCTGTGTGTGTGTGTTTTGTTTTGTTTTATTTGGAGATGGAGTTTTGCTCTTATTGCCCAGGCTGGAGTGCAGTGGCACGATCTCAGCTCACTGCAACCTCCGCCTCCCAGGTTCAAGCATTCTCCTGCCTTAGCCTCCTGAGTAGCTGAGATTACAGGCGTCTACCACCACGCCTGGCTAATACTTCGTACTTTTACTAGAGATGGAGATTCACCATGTTGGCCAGGCTGGTCTCAAACTCCTGACTTCAGGTGATCCATCCACCCACCTCGGCCTCCCAAAGTGCTGGGATTACAGGTGTGAGCCATTGTGTCAGGCCCTCTGTCCTGTGTGTGTTTTGATGTGCATCAGAGAAGATCTGAAGAGGCAGACAATAGCAGAACACTGGAGAGTGGGCCTAGCATGGAGGGGCAGGTGGCACTTTGACTTACATTGTATACACTTTGTGTTTCATTTTTTTACAATAGGCATTAGGTTCTGTTTACTAGTAAGTTATGAAATCACTAATGGTTATGTATTTGGTTTGTACTATATTAAGTTGGCAGCCCCTTTACCAGAAATACCTCCAGATGTTGTGACAGAATGTAGATTGGGACTGAAGGAGGAGAACCCTTCCAAAAAAGTCTTTGAGGAATGTACTAGGTAAGTGGTTCATGCCGAGCCCTGCATATATTGTCTGTGACTAACCCCGAGACAGACAGCTTACAGGAGGTTTCTCTGCATAAAACAAGTTCTTGGAGTGTAGTTGACCCTTGAGCAACATGGGCATTAGGGACGCTGATACCACCCAACCCTCTGCGCAGTTGAAAATATGTGTATAACTTTTGACTCTCCCCAAAGCTTAACTATTACTAGCCTACTGTTGACCAGAGGCCTTACCGATAACATAAACAGTGATGAACACATATTTTATATGTTATGTGTATTACGTGCTATACTTTTACAATAAAGTATGCTAGAAAAAAAAAGTGTTATTAAGATAATCATAAGGAAGAGAAAATATAATTCCTATTCACAAAGTAGAAATAGATCATCATAAAGGTCTTCATCCTCGTCATCTTCACATTGAGGAGGCTGAGGAGAAGGAGGAAGAGGAGGGGCTGGTCCTGCTGTCTCAGGGGTGGCAGGAACGGAAGAAAATACACGCATAAGTGGCTCCTGGCATCTCAACTCGAATTGTCCAAGGGTCAACTGTACTTTACCCATTAAAATGATTACTTTCTCTAGAAAGAGGTGAATGAAGAGTAATAATTCCGTGTACACATGAGGCACACTGAAAGGGGTCCCATCGTTTAGCGCCAGTATCCTAGCATCCTAGGGGAGTGGCACACCTAAGCCTGTGCAGCCAGAGCATGGTGGGGCTGGGGCTGCAACCCGTGATGCTTTAAT